AGGTGAGATGGCAGAAAGGCTGAGTTGAGCTTTAGCTGGGTGTCCAGGAGAGGACCTAAGGAGAGCAGCTAGGACCGGACAGACCTGTGTCGCAGGGAGAAGCGCAAATCCACGAGTCTGCTGCGAGATCCTTCTCATCCTCTCATCCCCTCTCATCTTCAGGACATCCCCGACACAGGGAGCACAGCAGGCTGCTCCCCGCCCACCTCAAGGCCAGGGAAGGAGGCTGGGTCTTTCTCTAGGTGCAGCAGAAAGGAGTGGCAGGTTTTGAGCTGGAGGGCAGCAGGGTCAGATTCATGGTTTTCTGCCTGGGAGGACCGGAGCTCGGACCCGGATGGCAGCCAATGACAGGTGAAGGATTTGAGGTACATTTTACCAATTAATATGGTGTAAGACCTGAACCTAAAGTTAACATCGCGTGCCTCCTCGACAGCTGGTAGAACCAGGAGAGACCGTTATGGTCCAACCACAAGTTCCATCCCCCACTCAGCTTGTGGACAAATAGCAGCAGTCTTCCTGTCCCACGACCAGACACAGGGCCTGCTAATCCCTGCAATTTCCCAAAATGCCAGTCACATCTTCTTGCAGAAACTAGGGGGTGCCCACCTCCTGGCATGCCCTCTGCCACTGGCTCCTCATGTGGTCCATTGTGGCCTGCAGGGTCTTTCTCGCCCAGACTGTGAGCATTTGTGGTTCTATCTGCTGCTGTCATCTGTCCAGTGCTGTGTGCTCCACTCACAACCCAGGTAGGAATCCCTCCTTCACCCACAGGTGGATGAGAATTAGTCCAGGCAAGGAAGGCACTCAGATTCGCATCCACTGGGCATGAAGGGGACAAGAGACCTCCAGGCTCTGAGTCAGTATCCTGGGGTGGTGGTGTCCCCACAAATTTCATTCAAGTCCTAACCCCTGGTACCCATGTGAGCTTATTTGGAAATAGGGACCTAAAACATGTAATATGGTTAAAACATGATCCCACTCAGGTAGGGTGATGCTAATCCAATGACTAGAAAAGGGAAATTCAGACACAGGTGACAGGAACACATGGGAGCAACCTGGCCACAGGCGAAGGAAGGCTAAGGATCATGAGCAGCCATTTAAGCTGGCAGAGGCAAGAAGGGACCCTCCCCAAGGGCTTCTGAGGGAATGTGGTTCGTTGAACTTCTGGCCTCCAGAACAGTGAGAAAATACATTTCTGTTGTTACAAGTCATCCAAGTTGTGGTGATTTGCTGTAGCAACCCAAGGGATCCAGGTGGGGCCCAAGAACACACATTTCTGACAGTTTTCTGGGTGTGTTGACACTGCTGGGATCACCGTTTGAAGACCACTGGTTCGGGTAATGGAGGATTAATCCAGAAGAATGCGGAGGTTGCCACAGTGTCTCAAGGGCCTCCTAGTCCTGAGTCCAGGACTGGGACAGCGAGTGGAGTCCTGCTCTCAGGGCTCAGTATGAGGATGGGGCATTCAGACCCAGCACCTATAGAGCCAGGGATAGAAAGAGGACAGGTGTGGCATTTCCCGCCTCTGACCTATTCCTGTCACCCCAAGAAGACACTGCATCTGATTCAAGGGAGGAGAATGCATCATGCACGGGGAGGCCATGCCGGTAGGATGGGGACAGGAAGGGCCTCTCATCGGCACCTGCACTTGGTCACCCAAGGCTGTGACAGGTCAGGGCTGCATTGTGGGGAAGAAAGGTAGCGGGTGTCCAGAGCAGATCCCTTTGCAGGATCCAGATTGGCCATAGTGAGCCCAGGCTGTTGAGTGGCTTCCCTGATGGACTCCTTTGTCCTGGAAATGAGGACAGTCCCCTTTCCACTATAGGGAAATGGCTTACTCACCATGGTCTGTGAACCCAGTCCCTATCCAGACTCTCACCCAGCTGTGACACTGACCAGGCTTCTGTCTTAGTAGGAGGTAAAGACAAGGTAAAGTCATCTCCTTGCAGCTAATTTCTTGATATTCTTGTTTTTTTTTTTAAATCACGCTTCTGAAATATCAAGGTGGACTTGAGTTTTATTCACATATTTTTTTCTAGCTAGGAAAACATTCCACTTTTGTTCAGTTTCTGTTAATTTTTAGAGAGCAATGCAGAGTTGAACACAGTAGGGCAACAAGCAGCATGCAGCATGGGTGGGTGGGCAGGGGTGTCTGCCCTGCCCGTGGCCCTCTGGGCACTCTCCACACTGCGCAGAGACCCATCTGGCCAACCCTGCTGCAGGGGCAGTGACCCCCAGGGTCACGGAGCCACCGGCTGCAAGCTGACGATCTACCTGAGCAATTTGCACTGACAGCTGTGGGCAGACTGGAGGCTCAGGACTGCCTTTCATGGCCCTGGCTGGAAACCTGCCCAGTCCTCACCCAGGCACACAGCAGGCATGACCTGCGAGCCAGTGGCCACAGAAGCTCTGTGGTGAACCAGGGGCAAGGGCGCCTGCATGCAGAAGCCTCCACGGACATTCCTGACCACACTCGGCAGGCACACACACTCCTCCCAAGGCCACTGGACAGGGTGAACCCCCAGGGAAGTGCTGGCCTATGTCTACCCACCTCACTCCCAGCTTGCAGCGGGGAGCTTAGTGCTTCCAGGCCCCCAAGTATCCAGCCAGAAACCAGAGACAAGACCACCGTCTTCCTCCTCCGCCTCCCCCTCTCACTTTTCATGTCCCAGTTCTCAGGCTGCTTTACAAGGTCCATTCCTCGTCTGTTAACTTCTCATTTAGTATTTCCACCCACCAAATACATCATTGACTATTTCATAAGCAAGCACCAATTACCTCCAATTACGATTCTACCCTAGGACAAAGTTTTGTTTAAAGTTAAAGAGGAAATCACCTATTTGGGTCCTTCCTTAAAAATCATGTAGTATTATGATGTTTAATGAGTTGGACTTTAGACTTCTTAAGATCAGAGCAAAACTCCCAAGTAAATAGGAACTAATTATTTCAAGTCCCATCAAAAATAAACTAATTCACAATAAGGTGGGGGGGGCACTAGAGAAGAATAGAGCGACTTTAGGTAGAGAGGAATGAAGGGAGGGAAGAGGGTGTGGAATAGGAAAGATAGTAGAATGCAACAGACATTATTACTGTATGTATACACATGACTGCATGACTGATGTGATTCTACAGCATGCACAATCAGAAAAGTGAGAAATTATACCCCATTTATGTATGATATATCAAAGTGCATAAATGCATTCTACTGTCATATACAACTAATTAAAACAAAAAAAAATTAAAAATTAACCTAAATGATGAAGTATGTTTAATTCTTTGAGCTAAAAAGAAAAAAAAATACATGCCTATAAATCATTAGAAGAAACTATAGAAAAATTAAACTGCTGACTTGGGGTAGAAAGGGCCTTCTTAGAGAAACACAAAATGTAGATATTAAAAAATCTTGACAAATTTGATTTAAATCAATCTTACATACAAAAGGTATCATAAGAATGAGTGGTAAATGAGGGAAATGCATACAACAGGTGGGAATTAACCCCTGGGTTCAATTCCCCAAATACATAGCAAACCTTAAAAAATCAGCAAAAATGATGCTAAACTGTAAAATTTTTAAAAAATTAAAAATGAAGAACAAGTGTAAATAAGGAATTTATGAAACAGAAAATAAAAATTGTTGGAGAAACATGCAAAGATACTCAACCTCACCAATAACTGGGGAAATGAAAATTAAGGCAATGAGATGCCTTAATTCACCACTGGATTTGCAAACTTAGTGCTGCAAGGGGGAGGCCCTCTCGCCCCCTGCTGGTGGCTGAGTGCAAGGCCGAGCCTGTGCATAATTCCTTTACCAGGCAAATTTTGCTTCTACACTCTGCTCTTTTAAAAACACTCATTTGTGTGTACAAATAAATAGGTACGGGGACCTTCCTTATTTATAAACGGTAAAAACCAAGAACATTTATGTTTCACCTCTCCTGGGGAATACTATGCGGAAATTGAATGAAAGGGATGTAAATGTTCTCCCAAAATACAGACAGTGAACAAAACTGCTCGTCCAGTGGGATCTTGTTTATACAAGAGCGGGAAGAGCACATTAAAAACTTGGTTCCAGCTGGGCGTGGTGGCACATGCCTATAATCCCAGGGACCTGTGAGGCTACAGCAGGAGGATTGCGAGTTTGAGTCCGGCCTCAGCAGCTAAGCAACTTAGTGCAATCCTGTCTCAAAATTAAAAAAAAAAAAAAAGTAAAAAGGAGCAGGGATATAACTCAGTGGTAAAGCATCCCTGGGTTTAGTAAAATTATTGAAAAAAAAAAAAGTAGATAAAAGGCCAGGCATGTTGGTGGATGCCTGTAATCCCAGTAGCTTCGGAGGCTGAAGCAGGAGCATCACAAGTTCAAAGCCAGCCTCAGTAATTTAGCAAAGCCCTAAGCAACTCTACAAAACCCTGTCTCTAAATAAAATATCAAAAAGGCTGGGGCTGTGGATCAGTTGTTAAGCACCCCTGGATTCAATCCCTGGTACCCACTCCCCAAAAAGTTTGGGCTGGGGATGTGGCTCAAGTGGTAGCGCACTCGCCTGGCATGCGTGCGGCCTGGGTTCAATCCTCAGCACCACATACAAACAAAGATCTTGTGTCCGCCGAGAACTAAAAAATAAATATTAAAATTCTCTCTCTCTCTCTCTCTCTCTCTCTCTCTCTCTCTCTCTCTTAAAAAAAAGTTAATAAAATACTTTTTAAATTATTTTAAAAGGTTCCCCCAAACACATCCAGCATACCATTTAGGTAAAAGGAAGCTCTATTTTGCTTCTGTGTGTGATGTGAATTCCTGCCTATGGAAGCGTCTGAGAAATACCATCTCAATTCTCCATCATTTCACTGTATGAGAAAGTATTCATGGGGAATTGACATATTTTAAATACTTACCTTGGAAAAATTAAGTGAAAGAGTGTGGAAATAAGAAAGTACAAATCTGATTCAATTAAAATATCACCTGAAATATACCATATATATTTCTTTTGTAATTTATACACACAAGATTATTCAAATGTCACATGAGAATGTTTATTTTGCAAGTGGTTTTAATTCTTTTGCCACAATTTCCCCATGTTTTTACACTACCACATCTTTTTTCTAGACTTAAAATATTCAATAGAATTTGTCATAAGTTAAAAAGGAAAAAACATTCTTTCTGCTGAAAATATCACATTTAACTTAAAAATCATGAACCTTTTGAATATCAATAATTGAAGCTGCTGGGGAGGGGGGGTCACATTTATCTGAAGGTCCCAAGATAGCCCTGAGATCTAAATAGGAAAATATCTCTTATAAACTGTAACAAAACTCTCACCTTAAAATAAAACACTCTGAAATGTATATAATTATATCCATATTCAATAGATTTACAGTATCAAGTCTGGGTTTATAGAAATGATAAACAAAATAGCTTTACATTCAGAAAACAGGTTCTAAGACCCGTTTATACCAAAATGACAAAATTTGAAACCCAGCACCCTGTGCAAAAGTCTGTTCCATTCCTAACCTATCACAAAGACACCATTGCTTAAAAACACAGATCCTGGGACATCCAGTAAACGCCATCTGTCATCTGAGCAAAGAAAATCCCAGTAAGATTAGCTCTAACACTTCATTTGAATGAAGAATCTGATTCAAACCAAGAGTCTGAATCCACCGAGGGTTCCTGGGATTGCTGGGTACCATTCCTGGGAGTGTGGTATCATGCACTTGGTTCCCATTGAGTGTAACCATAGTTATATGGTTCCAAACCAGCTTCTAGAACTCGTAATGGATGGTCAGGTGCCTTGATCAAGGCAGAGAGATCTCACAGACCCGGCCAAAGTGGCTCTGTTCAAACTGCCTGGGTCATCTTTCAAAAAGAGACGCGTTACCTGGACTCCCAGGGAGCCCTCAGGTTTATGATTCTTCTGACCAAGTGGGTCACCTAGACACTCCCTGGGAGCCACTGTCACCTTTCCAGGCAATCTGGTCTCCCTTGAGGTCATCTGTGTGTACCTGGTGTGCGTGCACGTGTGTGTGCCTGGTCACCTCTGCACACAGTCACCCTATCACACACTGTGCTTGCTGGCACACAACAGGGGTGCACTTCGCACAGAAGTCTTATTGCAGACAGAGTGAGGAAACTGAGTGTGAGCACTGGCATTCAATGTCCTTGAAAATCAGTCCAATCAATGCAGGTAGTTGTTTTGTTTTGTTTTCTCCCGTTTCTTTAAATTAAAAAAAAAATCAGAGGCATTTTTTAGCCACTTATTTAAAATCTTAATGAAGAAATGTGAACCCAAGGGCACAGAAATGACTCGCTGACTCAAGAGTTATTATATAGGTGCATAAAACAAGTTCTAAATGTGTCCAGAGGTGGGAACTTGAACAATCAGCACTTTAGGAAGAACTAGGTTTGTTCTAAGTTCTTTGTGGCTAATGTCATCTGCTGTGACAGTTCCACGTGTCTCAATAACCGTGACTGGCTTGTTGTAAGGATCTATCACGATCGATACTTTCTGTTTCCTATGAATCTTAATAAGAACAGGATCAATGTTCCATCCTTTCTTTCCCTAGAAGACGGAGGCCCTCCAGGTGACTGCCTGGCTCAAAGTGGGGGGCTTGTGTGCTTCTGGTGGGCAGCAAACCAAGAACGAGGCAGCAGGGTCCAGAATTCAAACAGCTACCTGTTGTGCAAGACCGAGACCCTGAGCAAACACGTGGAAGATAGGTGACTTCCCAAGTACTGTAAAGAAAAAGCACTTCATCACATAACAGACCAACTGTGCTGGGAGTGCACAGTAGTGCCTGACCACTCTGACCCAAGTGGGAAGCAAGCGTAGTGTTAACAAGGAGCCAGCCCGACCCTGTAGTACACCTGGAGACTCGCATCAGGGTGTAACCCACTCCCCAGGGCAAACTTAGGTCAAGGCAAATTATACAAAAAGGGTCTTCTGGCTTTAGCTAGTGTGGACAGGGGGAGCGTGCAGGGCACTTCCTACCCTCTCCTGCTTTGGGCTCACTCCTTTACTCTCCAGGAGCCATTTCTTCATGGAACTTGGGAGTCCTGTGGCTTCCCAACTGTCTGAGATGGTAGTCTTTCCATCAAGGGGCCTGAGATCTGGGCCCCTTCTGGGCCTCTGTCTCACCCACAGCAGCCTCTACTCCAGAGGTCTGGTTCCTGCTGACAGCTGGGAAGGAACGGACAGAGGCATCACAAATCCCATTTTCCAGCCCATGTCACAAACTCTCCTGAGCCACGGAATGAGCTGTCATCTCAGGAGTGCCCAAAGCGGAGGTGGTGATGGCCTTGCAATTCTGAGGTATCTAGCGCTGCTGGGAATCTGCTAGGGTAGCCCGAGAGGCTGCACCATGATGTCCGTGATTCCCAGGATGTCCATGATGTGACGTGGGCACTTCTCTACAGCAAGCAGAGAGGAGCAGCTCCGACTCTCCCTACTCCTTCTTGGTAGGCTGGTGCTGGGCAGCCTGCGGGACGCTTAAGCACACAGCAAATGGGAAAAACCGCATCAGCATCACTGTGTACCTGCAGCGTCAGACCTGGCGCAGCCAGCTCTAGAGGTAGAAGTCATGCAGGGCCCATCAGCGTTGTCAAGTAGCCACCTCTTCTCACACAGAAGCGACTTCACAGCCACCCCACAGCCAATTCCTCTGCCAGGGTCCCCCAATCTCCAGTAACCAAGGAAATCTCTGCCGAGGGGTAAGTTCCAGAAACCTCACTTAAAATCAGCAGCATTAACAATGTTTTCGAAATATTTCTTCTGTCCAGTTTAATCATAATTTACTCAAGCTCTAAAACGTATTAAAATATACTTCACCGTTCTCCTAACTATATTTATATATAAATCCCTGAGAAGATACCTGTCAACTTGAAATTCGCTATTTACAGTTAATAAACACCCTGGGTGCAAGCAGAGGCCCCAAGCCTGCGCCTTCTGTGCTGTCCCATGTCAGGAGAGCAGACCAGGCCACCCTTCCTAAAAGCGGGAGGGGTTGGGTGCTGAGGCGGGAGCCCAGCACAGGAGTGGCGGGGTCTGCTGCTCACTCATTCTTGGGGACTCAGAGGTCCTGACCTGACAGTGCAGCAGGGCCACCATAATGCGTCTCAGGAACCCCTGTTCTGATTTTTTTAGACTTCAGGACAGCTGGTGCCAAAGATGAGCAAGGAGTTTAACCAAACTGGGAGAAGAAAACAGGCCAAGAAAGAAAAGGAAGGGGAGCTAAAGAGAAGGTAAAGAGGACTTCAGGGAAGGAGTGTGGAAGCTGGAGGGGACACTGTGGTGGGTCCTCGCCCATCAGCACCTGATGATAAATGGAGGGCGGAGCCTCAGTGACGAGGTGCCGCTGTTCAAAGCAGTAAAAACACACACAAATGACACCAGCTGGACTGTCAGGGAGACCAGGGGCGGTTTCTCTCCGCCTCAGGGACCAGACGATCATGTCTTCTCTGCGAATCCCATACCCAGAGAAGGTCACCCTAACAATGTTGCCTAAGAAGGGACTGGCTCACTGAGCCCCACAAGCCTCCTCAAGGTGACCCAGCTTACTCACTCTCTCGGTGGAGCTAATCACCAGCCCAGCTGCTGCCCCCACCTGCCTCCCCCACCCTTCTCGCAGTGACACTTTCAAGCCTGGGCAGAAGGGTCCCACTTGAGGATATCTGTCCTTGTGCTCCCACAGATCCCCAAATTGAGAGACTCCAAAGGCCACCTGCTGAGAAGCATCCAGACTTCTCTTCCTGACCTCCTGCACCGCCTGCCCAAGCCTGGGCACAGTGTCCACTGGCTGTCCTGTAGCCCACTCCAAAGAGGCCGAGAAAACGAGAGCAAAAGCCTCCTCCTTAGAGAGAGGAAAGAGGGGAGAGACATTGTCCTTGAAGGAAAACTCTGCCGGCAAATATGCTTCCACACAGCCACAGTGACAAGTGCTGGGCACCTGGTCCAGAAGCCACCTGGACCCCACCCAAGGACACCCCAGAGAGGGCCTCCCCAGGCAGCCCACAGTGATTTGATTCTGGAGAGAGGGACTGGTGAGAGTTTGCACCAGGCTCTGCACGGACACTTCCTGCACTTGAGTCCTTTGGGCTTCACAGACAAGTTCTTCTGTCTGGGGGTACACCTCAGCTCCCCTCCTGCCAGTCAGCTCCCCCACGCATCTGTCATTCTTACTTCACGAAGCCCACCAGGTCATGGCCACTCCCATGGAACAGGGAACGTGGTGGGTTCACCTTCAAGTCTGCCAAAGAAACTGCTGGGCTGACCCCAGTTTGCTGGCCTGGTAGACTTTCTAAACACATGTATCTCTGGAGCTGTCCTGTGGACACCAGCAGTCTTGCTGGCCAAGCCCCATGCTGGTCAGGTGCGTCCTGTGCAGCTGGTCAAGGCTGGCACAAACAGGAGAGGAGGCCCCAGAACAGAAACTGAAGAGACCACCTGTCCCGCTGTTGACAGTCCACCCATCACTGGACACTGACAATGGGTCGTGTGAGGTAGGGGGCCGGTGGGACCAGGAATGTGCACTTCTGATCAGGTAGAGCAGAGACACGGCTTGACGGGGTGCGGGGCTCCATACCATTCCCAGTGCACAGGTCCCACGGTGGTTAGAAGCAGGACTACTTGGCAATGCAGTGGCAGGCAGATGCCGGATCAGCCAGAACAGACACTGCCTAACACTGGCTGTTCCAAAGATAATTTGACATTCTTACAAAGTTAGAGCCTTCTGTGGGAGCTCAGGATGGGTGTCCAGGAAGAGCAACCCCCAAGTGAGAGGAGAAGCTGCAGTTCTCAACACAAGCTGCAGTGTACTCTCCTGGGAACTCAAACACTGGGGTTCTTCTCCCCCAGACCAACACAGTGCCAGCCTCTGCAGTAGGGGTAAAGGCAGGAAATGTTGACAAACTGCCTGGTGGTCCTCAGGGCACCCAGTGTTGAAAGCCACGGATTAGAGGCCATTTGGCACTGCCTGGCTGGGCGCTTAGCTGATGAGGGAGGAGCTTGTGGCAAGCTAGGTGAAGCTGTGGATTCCATAGACATGGCATGGAGATGCCACAATGCCAGGGACCCAGAAAAGACAACCTCCAAAGATTACTGAGGTCAAGGAGATGTGGTCAAATCCACCTTCCAAGCCACAGGGGTGAACCACAATCAACTAATATGCGTAGTTCTAAAGGTGGGTCCAGGATTCTGTGGCATTCATCTTGATGTCTTTCTGGGATTAAGGAGAAACATGCTAAAATCTGATTCTGAAACACGGTATTTTTATCTCACCAGTCTCTCCATCAGCCTGGACACAGCCTTATGATCTGATAAGTGAGGACGGGCTAGCGTGAGATCCCTGATTGCTCAACATCCCGAAGGTGCTGATGGGAAGCCACAAGGAGAACCCAGAGCCACTCACTGCCTGCATCACGAGACAGATAGCATGTATCCAGGGTTATAGTAAAGAGCTTCCAAACAGTCTATGATAGTTTTTAAATCCATGGTTCCCAGTATTTCAATTAAATATTTAAATAAAGTGCATGTGTAACAGACACTCTAAGATCCAGTAAGAATTTCTCAGTCTTTGGAGATAAAAGCATAAACAGAAAACTCCCCCTGAGAGCTCAGGGCCCAGGCAACTCACATCTGCGTCCTGCCAAAGTCCCCACATCCTGGACATCTTACACAGTTGGCATAAGGACGTGCTGAAGATCAGGGACAATCATCAAAGGAGAAATAAAAGTAAACTCCACTTGAGCCTGGATGAGAGGGCTGCCTGAAAATGCCAAATACTCCTAGAAATTTGCCCAAAACAAGCTTGCTTAAAACTCAGTTCTAGCCTCCTGTTCCTAAAAATCACCCTCCTGCCCCCTTCAGCAGTTCCATTCCTCTGGGATCCTATCTTTCCCGCATTTTTACATTTTAAGGATATACAGATTTGACTTATCTAAGAGCACGTATGACTTAATTTTGTATTTCCAGTAATCATTTGCTAAGCCCACCCCACTTATTAAAAGACAATTTTTCTCTTATTTCCAATAAAAGATTTCCTAGGCAGTTTATCCAAAGCCCCTGTTTAAAATGAGTCTAGCAAGAAATGCAGTTAATGCATTGTTTCCTAATAATTCGACAATGATTTTCATTATTATAACTGTATGAACAAGAGAGTTTTAAAATAAGACACTGAAATCTGAACTATTTCATTTGATCATTTTGCTGTAAAAGTCAATGCCTCCATCAAATAAAAACAAATATTCGGCATCAATTAATCAAATAGGAAAATCTAGTGCCAAAGCGCACCCACAATGAGATGGAAAAGCAAAGCCAAAACCAATGTCAAAAAGAGGGAGAATCCGCTGAATTGTGTGAATTCATACAGCTCTCACAAATGTTTATTGCTAGATACAGTATTTTAAACCAGGGGTCTTCAGACTCATATATTAAAACTGCCTTAAATACAAACAGTCCCATCACCTGTAAAATGCTGCAGATTGGTAAATGATGATTAAAAGTACAAAATTATGCAAAAAAAAAAAAAAAACACCCTTTGATAAATTGGTTTTTAAAAATTCTTAATCGAGGTTCTCTAAAGGGAGACATTAGGTGTGTTGCCCGCTAGGTGTACTGATTGCTAGAGGAAGGAGGGTTAGGCAAATCAATACGTGCTGTTCCCAGCTCCCTCTTGGGAACACTTGACCACTTCCTGGGATCCCAGAAGGCGGCGCAGCGCTGGAGGAGCGCACTGCAGGAGCCTGGCGCACCTCTGAGCGCCCAGCCGGGGGGCAGCCTCCCCTGCGCTTCTCCACCTTTTCCAAGGTCGCGCCCCCGCCCTTCTCCCGCTGGGGCTCCGCGCCCCCGCAGCGCAGCGCTGGCCCCACACAGGCCCTCCGACCCCTTCACGTCCTTTTCCTCCAGCGCGGCGCCCGCTTTTCCTTCTGCGCTTCTTCCTGGCGCTTCCTCTCGGCCTCTTCTGCCTTCTTCTTTTCTTCCTTGGCCTCCTTGTACCGCCACTTGGGGATCTGCAGGTGGGTGCTGTCCTTGGCGCTGCCCTTGCGGCCTATGCGCTCTGGCTGGAAGGTGGGCGCAGGCGCCTTGCTGATGCGGACCCTGGGGACCACCACACCCGGCCGCACACTGCTCCGGCGCAGGAGCTGCAGGGGCAGGAGGCTGGCCTTCCGCCGGGCAGAGGCTGACCCCTGGGCCCCTGGCAGGTAGGGAGACGGGGGACTGAGTCTCGGAGCCTCCTCTCCGGAGCCCCCCACCACCTCAGAAGTCCGAAATTGCTGTTCAGCGCCTTCTGCCTCGTCCCTCTCTTGGGCAAGGGTGCCCTGGTCCCCCTTAGCAGCCAGGATTTCCTGCACTGCCAGCCGCCTTTTTCCAACACAGGGAGGGTCCTCAGGGCACACAGTTTGGCAGACGATGGCCACAGCGGGACTATAAAGGCTTGTGGTCATCCTGACCATGTGGTCAAGGACACCCCCATCCTCCAGGCCCCGGCCTGAGCGCGAGGTCAGTGCGGACCGCACGAATTCAGCGAGCCTCTGCAAGCAGTTTTTGGAGGCTGCAGGCTTCAGAACCGCCTCCGGGGTCAGCGGCAACTCTGGCCTGTACTTCTCCCCAAACTGTTCAGGGCAGGGTCGCTCCAGCAGCCTCTGCATGAGTCGGACGGCCTCCACCCTGCCTGTGTAAGCAGCCCACTCCTGGGGTGACATCCCACGGCGGCTGTCCCGGGCGTGTACATCAGCCCCTGAAAAATAAGAAGCACAAATGGGTGGCTGCAGCAGCAACTCACAGGCAAAGAATGGAACAAAGGTAAACTTTCCCAAACCTAATAACAAGCTCTATCCTAGACCACTGCCACCTGCATGTGACAGTCACCTACTGCATTTACCACTGCAACAAGAAAAGGTTTCTCATGCATCATTTGATGTTTCTCTGTTTTCTAAATAAAAAATTGTCTAAATCTAAATCATGATTTTTTTTTTTTAAGAAATAAAATTCTAGCCGGGTGCAGTGGCTCCTCTCCTGAATCTCAGCAGCTCGGGAGGTTGAGGCAGGAGGATTGATTGCAAGTTCAAAGCCAGCCTCAGCAATAGCAAGGCACTAAGCAAGTCAGTGAGACCCTGTCTCTAAATAAAATACACAATAGGGCTGGGGATGTGGCTTAGTGGTTGAGTGCCTCTGAGTTCAATCCCTGGTACCCAAAAGAAAGAAAGAAGATGTGGCACTTTAGCTCTCTGCCAAAGGAGATATGACTAGACAACAAAGATGTCTCGAGATCACTTGATGATGCAGCTGGAGTGCTCTAAATGCTAATGGTAACAGTCACTTGCAAGGCACTTGGTACCATCTCTTCTGTCCTGTCACTTGGAGAGCTTCTGTGGGTTCCGTTTTGTGGGAAATGGTGGTCCTTCACCTCTCCCACTGGGTAGTTAACCGGCTGGGGGACTGCAGCCCATATTCCTATAGACCAGACGGTGGGCTATTCCAAAACAGAGGCCATAACTTATGCATTTTTCTTCTGTAACACATCTAATCCTGGCAGGTGGGAGGCATGCCTGTAACAAAGGTTCATGACAGAATGAATGATGGTCACAGTGGCTGGGGGCCTGCCTGGGCTGCAAAGCTGGCAAGCTCCATGGAGTAGAGAGCTCCAGGGAGCGCCTTGGGTCCCCTGCACTCAGCTCTGTGTGCTAACAACCACCCAGCAGGCAGGTGTGATGGTCAGTACTCTGTGTCAGCTTGGCTACACTAGAACATCCAGTGCTTTAATCAAACAGTAATCTAGGTGTGGCCTGAAGGGATCTTGTAGCTTTGGCTAACACCTTCTAATCAGTTAACTTTAAGTCAAGGAGATCAACCCCAAAGAAGTGGCTGGGCCTCATCCAATCATTGACTGCCTTAAGAGCAAAGACTCAAATTTCCTAGAGAAGAAAAAGTTCTTGTTGCATTCATATATGAATATGCAACAGCAAATCCCATCGTTATATATAATTATAATACATCATACTACAGTGATGCAGCCACATCAATGTTTATAGCAGCTCAATTCACAATAGCTTATCTGTGAAACCAACTTAGATGAATGGATAAAGAGACTGGTATGTATACACAATGGACTATTTCTCAGCATTAAAAAAGAATAAAATTATGGCATTTGCACGTAAATGGATAGAGCTGGAGAATATCATGCTACATAAAGTAAGCCAGTCCCATAAAACCAAAGGCAGAATGTTTTCTCGGATTAGTGGGTGCTGATCCATAATGGTGGGGGTGGGGGGGCATGGGAAGAATGGAGGAACTTTGGATTGGGCAAAGAGGAGGGTGGGGGAGGGAAGGGGGCATGGGGCAGGAAAGATGGTGGAATGAGACAGACATCATTACCCTAGATACGTGTATAATGGCACGAATGGTACAACTCTACATCGTGTACAACCTGAGAATTGAAAAGTTATGCTCCATTGTGTACAATGAATTGAAATACATTCTGCTGTCATGTATAACTAAGTAGAATAAATAAAACATAAAAAAATTATAATGCACCAACAAAAAAACATGGAATAAAAGAAAAAGTTCTGCCTCTAGACTTCAGTATTATCTCCTACCTGTGGGCCTAGTCTACAAATTTTAGACTTACCAACCCCCACAACTGCATGAGCCAATTCCTTAAAATAAATCTCTTAATTTATGCACCCTATCAGTTCTGATTGTCTAGAGAATCTTTAATGATGTATCCCCAACGTCTTCCTGAATGTCTCTCCATTCTACCCACTACCCCCGCCCCACATACAAACATTCCAACATTAAACTCCAAATCATCCTGGTGAACTCTGCATAAATTTCAACTTGGCAATGTAGAAATTATTACAAAGTTGCTGTTAATCTTGGTCCAAACTCAGCTCCACATACAGTTAGAAATCATTCAGGATTTCAAGTCCCATTAGTCAAATCTCTACTGGCAAAGCAATGTGAAAAACTAGGGCAATTATCTAGTCTGTGAGCTCCCTGGAGACAGGCCTGGCAGAGGCAGCTTCATTTATATCCCACACAGACCCAGGTGTTGACATGTGGTGGCTGATCAATACGTGCTGAGCTGAGAGAGGCGGGGGGCGCTGCCACTTCCCTGCCCTGCCAGCCCACAGTGGCCTCAGAGCCAGGCAGACCTGGCTCACCTGAGCTCACCTGCTAATGGTCTTAATTCTGTGACACATTAAAGAATAGCCATCTTACAAGAGTGGTAATTATTTGGAACCAGAAATCAGGAGAACTCATTAGTTAGAGTACAATTTATAAACTGACTAAAATGAAAAGGGGGCAGTAAAAATGTCATTGCAGAAAATAGATGACACATTAAACCTTAATTAATTGCATGTCACTTAAAAAAGGAACAAACTGCAAAATTAAAATCTTAATGAACACTGCGTGAAAGAGACATTTTTCAAATGCTAATGGAAAACGAAAGGAACAGCTGTCCAGAGCGCAGCGTCCTTCTTCCTGTTGTTCCCCACCTTTTCAAAATGCTCAGAAAATACAAACACCCCAAAGACCAAGAGCCATTGTGACTGCCATGCAGTTCTAGGATCTGAGTGGTGCTTAATTAGGGATTCACTTCCTAAGAAACCACTGCTAAGGGTGACATTGATGGCCAGGACATAGCAGGTAAATTATGAACGACAAGCACAGTTACCCTTCAGTGTCCACAGGGGATTGCTTCCAAGACCCCCATGGACACCAAATTCCAAGGATGCTCAAGTCCCTTGTAGAAAATGGCATGATCTTTGCATATAACCCATGCACTTCCATAGACACCAAACCATTTCTAGATTACTTACAAAACCTAAGGCAAGGTAAATGCCGTGTAAACAGTGGCTAGGCTGTATTGTCTAGTGACCAGTGACAAGGTCACAGGTCTGTACCGGTTCCATACAAATGCATTTTTTAGAGATATTTTATATCTGTAGTTGCCTGAATCCATGGAACAGAACCCAGGACATGGGAAGATCAACTGTACTGATGATTAACATTTTACTTGAATACCTTTAAACGGATATAGAGAACTTCCAAAATGCCACTGTGTCCATCTTCTCCCCCGACACCACCAGCATCCTTGCCTCCTACCCAACAGTACTCAAACCTGTGGACCAAGGGTGGGCTCTTGCCAATGGGTCCACTTGCCAACTTGCTGACAGCTAAGAGTTGTCTGCACGAAATCATCTTCTATTTTATTCAAAGCAACATACTCAGTTCTAGGCAATGGATCATAATGGTCTAGCCTAAGACTGCCCAACCTCAGCATTATTGGCATTTTTGGCCATGCTTGTGGTGAGGGCTGTCCTGTGCAGTGAAGGACTTCTAACAGCATCTCTGGTGACTACTCAAGAGATCTCAGTAGCACTCCACCAGTTGTGACAACCAGCAATGTATCCAGCTGTTACCAAATGTCACCTGGGGGGCAATATCGTCCCTGACTCTGAACCGGTCTAACCTGATGACTGAAGTCTGCTTCCCATTTGTCCGGCTGCCTGTGTCCAAGCAACCTGGTGCTGGCCAGAGCCCTATGGGGTATTCACCTCCTGAGAACAGGGACAAGTGAATTTGCTGCTGTTACCACTGCCTCCTACCAGAGGTCTGGTGACTCTCTTGGAATCAAGAGGTGACAAAGCAGGAAGCTAAGGGAATTGATGAATAGGAGAAGAAAATCAGGTCCATGTTGTCTTCTCTGAACCAAGACCAGCTTTGGACAGTGACCACCAACCTTAAAACTCCTAGTGAGATATGAGGAAAAGACCTGTTTTCTCGAATCCACTCTCAAGCCAGGACTTCTGCTACTGCAGTGGAAAACATCCCAAACTAGTGCCAAAGGGGAAAAAATGCATGTTCCCGCCCTCTCAGTTCACTTTCCCCTGGGAGTCAGCCAGGCCCCCAAGGACAGTGGGCGGTGGGTGCAGTAGTCACGTTCTTTCTTCTCCACCACCCTGACGGCATCCTTCCTAGGCAGCCCAGCCCAGGCCGCCCTCCTGCCACAGGAGGTGACACACCACAAGGGTGGGCCAGCCCTGCCAGCTTCCTGCTGGGCCACCTCTAGCCTGTGTCTGGGGCACCGGGTATGTAATCAGCGCAGCAAGTCAGGATTGCAGGGTCACGGGGGAGAGCCTGCCGTCCAGCCCAGTGGGACTGAGGAGCCACCTCCATGGCACGGCAGGTGGGAAAGGTGTACCCTGCCCCCATGTGGGGCCAGAATTGGAAGATAAATCCCCAGTGTCCTTGTCCCTTGGGGTATCTCCCAGATGGATTCTGCTCATCTCTCAGAGGGTCCAGCAGGACTGAGTCCCAGTCACCCACCAGCAACCTGCTCAGGAGCCTGAAGTCACCACATTAGCATTGTCTCTTCCTAACTCACTCCCCCCACCGGCACCCTGCCAGGCTGCTTCCCCAAAGCAATCTTTGAAAAAATCTCCTTGTCCCCAAGTCCTGGTCTCAGGGTTTGATTTGGGGGTGGAGGGGTGTGGTATGAATTTCCTGAGTTAATTTTTCTCTAATAACGTGAAACAACTCCAGTGTGGCCAATTCTCAGTTCACAAAAAATTCCCATTTTCCTCATAAACAGAAAGCAACGTCTTAGTATAAGTCCCTGGTTTACCAGAAGTCTAGTCAGGGCTTGCCGGAGATGAGCAGGACCGTGGCTCTTCATCTTCCTTTTAATCTGTGTGCTCCCTGGAATCGTGCAAGATGCAGGCCTTTGATTTTTCCTCCTCCCGCGGCAGCAGCCTTGCTTTACGCCACACTTCAGTACAAACAGGAGCTCTCGAAAGCAACCTGGAACTGGCAATCTCCATAAAAAAATCCTGTCCTCCATGCGGCTTCTCAGAGCCACTGATTTAAATAGACTTGTCACTCTGGGACATTAATATTCCACTGAATCAACAAGGTTCTGCTGCCTCCCTTGGGATTGTCATCAGCACAGACAACAGTATTAGGAAGCCAAACCCAAAGACCCACTGAATCAGGTTTCCAGAATCCGGTTATATTTTTTATTTAAATTAGAATTTCTGATACTTCTAACATTCTTTTGTTCTACTGCACATTCAGACCCAAACTGATCTGTACCTGTACGTTACAGATAGTGAGAAAATCTAAACAGTTGAGGGTTTCATGCAATTTGATCATTCATCACATATAAGCTGAAATGTTTGCTATTGAAAATAAACTGCAACTCAGAAACTAAGGTGCAGAAAAACATTCAGGAAACAAAGATCACCTCCTCTGAAGAACTTAAAAAGGCATGTTTTTATATGTAGTAATAGTTGCGCACTTTACTTTTCAAATTATCACAGGATGACTGTTTTGCAGTTAACTCCTGGGTAACCTTCCTAAGCTATACATAGACTCACTCCATGTTGAAGGGTCTGTCGATCTAAAAGAAATGCTCAGGCTGTTGGGAACTTTCAATGCTTTAAGTTCTCCTGATATGGATATGTTTAAATGGAAATAAGAGACATAAAAATAGTTGAGAATTGTAATCTAACTTAGTAGTGACAATAGCAAATGACCACTCCCAACTAAAGCCTAAGGGGGCAGCTTGAATGCTCCCTGGAAAAGGTCTCATCTTTATTTTAGACAATGTGGAACCAGCTGGGAGGGAGAAACATATCTAAGAAGGAAAAGATCTTCTCTTTTTTCATCTTTTCTCACTTATTAGTTATATCAGTAGTTGCCGTTCCCGCCCCCCACCCCCTGGCCTCCGCAGAGGATGTTTGGCAGTGCCTGGGACATTTCTGGCTGTCATGACTGGGGATACTTCAGCCATCTAGAGGGTAGAGGCCAGGGACATCACTGAACAACCTACAGTTGTCGGAACCTCCCCCCACCCCCACCACATAACTTATCTGGCCCCAAATCTCAAGATCATGCCAAGGTTAAGAAACCCCTGAGTTACATGCTTACTACCCTAGTAAGTTGAGGATCTCATCACAGGATATTTTTCAAAGAGAAAAATATGCCTTGTTCTTTTATTCACTTAATGAATAACATAAACTCCCTAATAACAGTAACAACACAATCCTAAGCGACATGCCCTGATGGCAGGCATCTAGGGTGGCCCTGGCAAGAGAGAGCTCCCTCCCTCAGCGCCATCACGGCTTCCATCCCAGAGAAGAGGAAACCGCAGTCCAGAAAGGCAAGTGACTGCCGCAGGTATGGAGCTGGGTCGAAGCCTGCGCCCTGGCTTTCTGGGTCACTTACCCCCCCACTCCCTGCTCTGTAGCAGCACAGTGCAGAGGGAAGCCCGAGGCATGGACAGGCAGGGCCTGTGCCCACAAGGGCTCCAGACTTCACTGGGGGAGAACTCCCAGGGGGGACAGGGAAGAGTGTTTACAGACCCGATGTCTAATCTGTAACCACAACTGGGGGGTACAGGTGACCTTAACACCCAGCCCATCGCCCCCAGCACCATCTCCCCAAGAGATATGGAGGGCATTTCTGAGATGCTATAAATACTGCAGCAAATGCCGGAAACTTCTAAGAGACCCAAAGAAGACGAAATGACAATGATAGTGAGACTGAGCCCCTCATGTTTTCCAGGGCGATTAGAAGGCAATTGACCCCCCACCAAAAGGAAAAAAAAAAGTTGGTAATTCAAATTAACTTGTTGGGAAAAATGCATTTGATGTGACTGACACACTGTCAGTTGAAAAAGTAAATTACTAAAAATCTGCACTCAATTAAAACTCAATCCAAAAGTAATAAAAGCAGATGAAGCTTCTGCCACTCATAAGAGCATCCCACAATCACCATTTAACTAGGAGGGACCACTTCTCACTGACACAGGACAGGCAGGGCCTAAACTCTGCTGAAACCTAGCTCTTGCTTTTCAAAACTAAAACTGCCACTGAATCAAAACCACAACCAATGGGATTAATTACGATCCTTTTATATTTCTAAGTAGATTTGTAATCTTCAAAACCTCTATCCTTGTTCTTTGAGTTTATTTGTCCTATAGCATCCTGTAAGACTCGGAGTTTAAAGCAGGAGGGAAAAAATTAAAAGTTGTAAATCCCCAAATCCCAGATGGATGAAAGAAAAACAGGCTCAGGTGGGGGTGCACCACACAATGCCGAGTCATAAACAATACATGAAGACAAACTGTCACAGGCCAGAGGCAACCAGGAACACATGACAACTAGACGGGGAGCCAGCTGGGGTCCTGGGACAGAGAAGGAGCATTAACGGAGGAGACGGGATCTGGAAGACTCTGATGGCATTCCCAGGAGAACCACCATCTGAATGTTGCCCCCCACCCCCCAGACTTCATAGGTGTGGCACTCCATACCCAAGGGGATGGTATGAAGAGGTAGGGGTTTTAGGAGGTGCTTGGTCACAGGATGGGCCTCAGGAATGGGATTGGTGCCCTCATGCAAGAGGCCAGAGGGTGCCCCCAGCCCTTCCAACAGGGGAGGACATGACAAGAGGGAACAGGCCCCCACCGGACATCAGTCTGCTGGTACCTTGATCTTGGCTTCCCTGCCTCTGAACTGTGAGCAATAAACATACTGTTTATAAATCATCCCGTCTGGTATTTTGCTATAGCAGCAAGAATGGACTAAGAGAGGGAAAATGTCAGCTCTTCAGGAACTCGTAGCACTAAGCAGAATTGGCTGACCCCCGTGCCACAGCCAAAAATAAAGATAAATTAAGGCAGCAAAATGAATACGAGCAACAGCTATTGGATACTGAGTGCATTACATGTACTTAGACACATCTTCTCCCTTAGTTCTCCAAATAACCTGGTGAGGTGGCACTAAAGACTATCCCTGACCCCAGTTTCAAGACAGGAAAAGAATTAAGAGGTTCATCAGAAGGAATTTAGTTTAGTAGCTCATTAAAACTGCATAGCCCTTGAGAGTTTATAAAGTAAACTATTTCGTCCTCAGGGAGGAGGGACAGAAAGAGGTCATTACCCCCATTTTGCAGATGGGGACCCGGTGAGTGTCTTCTCCAGGCTGACAAGGACCTAAGGGACAAAGGGGGCTGCCCTGTTGATCCCAAGCTGAAGCCTGGAACTTTCCACTGACTCTGGAAACTGCCACACAACACATCGTCCTGCAGCTCAACTGCCAGCGAGCAGGAGGCAGCCTGGTCCGGACCACCCCCTTCTGTACCCACTCCAACAGCATCGGACCACCCCCTCCTGTGCCCACTCCAACAGCCGTGGGCCCACCCAGGGCCAAGACCAGAATGCACATTTCTGAAGAGCAGATGTGCACAGGGTTGGGAGCAGATGTGTGTGGGGGGGAGGAAGCCAAGGGCAAGGGAAGGCGTCACTCCTCCCACAGCTCAGCACTGACCTGCCAGCGGCTGGCTGTGACCCTCTCCGCAACCCTGAAGGCAACTGTCACCACCTCAACAAGGAACCCATTCTTTGTGGCATCTGCCAGGCTGTTTCCATGGGGATGATCCGTCTCTTCCGGGGACGTTCTTTACAGGAGTCAGTTATTTCCAGGGCCCACAGGTGAGAGGGACAAGAGGCACGTACCTGCGAGCATCAGGGCTCTGACGCACTCCGTCCGGCCCTGCATAGCTGCTTTCATCAGGGCGGTGAAGCCAAACACGTTCCTCCTTTCAAGGTCAAGACCAGGGAAATAGTTCAACAGGTAGTTGGTGATGGTGGCGTGCCCTGAAAGAGAAGGGTGCACGTGTGGGTCTCACGAGGCCTCCAGAGGGACCGGGGTGTGCCCAGCTTCCTGCTCTGCACGTTTGCCTCTCTGATCCCCAGACAATCCTTCTGGAGCCCAGGAAGCAGGAGGAGGCAGGGGCCCCTGTCCTGGCCACATGGATGTCTCAGGTTCACTCAGGGCCCTTCAGCCACCCACCTGAGTGGTGCAGGGTCCCACCGTGCGGCAGAGGAGGCTGGGCAGGGACAGCAGTGTCATCACAGGCGGGCGCTGGCAGCTCCCAGCTGGAGCCGCTGGGGCAGACAGAAGCTAAGCTAGGAATGAGCCTCCGAAGCATTTCCAAGTGCTCCGGTGCCTCAGGGAGGAAAAGTTCATCGTCATAGCAAAGAGATAACACCAGCTCACGCTCACACCTCTGCTGCCACTCGGAAGAGAGTGTCTGCCCCTCCCTCCCTCCCTCCCCACCCCCCACTCACACATGATCACAAGGAGGCTGCCTCAGCCACAACCCTGAGCAGCTGAGAAGCTTCAGGAAACTCACTGGGGAGTATAGATTTCTCCCCTTTCTCATCTTGCTCCTCCAAAAAACGGATCCAATTTTCTGCTTATTGCCAGAGATACTCTCAAAAAGCCCAAGGTGCTCTCCGTCGGGGTGAATAAGGAGACCATTGTGCAAAAGGCAATAGTTCAAGCATCCACCCCTGGAAAACCCTGTCTCAAGTAGAGCTTCCTGAGCCACAAGGTGGCTCCTGGGTCTGCCACCCAAGCCCAAGGCTAGCCCACCCCCTCAGTCTTTCTGTGCTGGACTCCCCCCACCACACACACACCCGACCACAGACACACCTCGATTCCCTACAGCATCCTGGGTTGGATCACTCTGGGGTGCAGCTGTCCTGGGCACTGAAGGACGGCTAGCAGCACCTGGTCTCGACCCACGAAGTGCCAGCAGCAATGAACCCCCAACTCCTGCCCCACCTGTGGCAACAAAATATGGGCCCAGACACTGCCACCTGTCCCCTGGTAGGGTGGGAACGGGAGGGGGTAAATCACCTGGGTTGAGAACTACTGACCTAGAGGACCCTTCTGCACTGTCCCAGAACCAACCACACCAAGTGGGAAACAGGTCCTCTCCCAGCGCCTTTGTCCCTGGCCCTGGCTAGCCACCCCCCTCAGCTGCCTGCCCCATCCTGGCCCCTGCAGGTGATGGTGAGCATTCCCTTGGGGATGTGAGCAGTCTGCACAAGTCCCTTTTGCAGAGCCCCGGGGAGGTGCTGGGTGTGCAGCCACATCCGTCCTTACATACCAACAGCCTCCCAGGTCACTCCAACGCTGTTAGGCCCAGCTCCACGTCAGGGCCACAAGCTTGGACGTCATGGACACTTCCCTGCACTCCTCTGGTTAACTCAGCATCTCCCCCACCCCAAGGAAGCCCCCAGCCTTAGAGGAGCCAGGACCCCCAGGGTTAGACTCTCCAATTTCAGGACAGAGGCCTCCAATGGGTGGCACTGTGTGTGTGGGAGACGAGGTGAGGCCATCATTCTCCTGAGGTGGGACAGAAATGAGACTCTGCCTGCAGACTGAGAGGGCTGAGTGAGCTGGAGGCTGCCAGCTGCCCCGAGAACCCTGCCTCCCTGCCGAGGCCCAGGCCTCCCCCCAGGGCCCGGCGCCAGCTTCAGCATCACGAGAACAGAATACCAGAACCTGTGGATGCACTCAGTGGCTCCTGTCTTCCCCATGACAGCCACCCTGTCAACCACGGCACCCGGGCTGGAGCCCAGAGCCTCCCTCTGTGGACACAGACACACATCAAAAATGGAACATCTGAGGCTCCTGGACACGATGACCACATGCGCTGTGGGATGTCGGATGGGAACCGGGGACAGGAAAATCTGGGGAAATCCAAATAAAGAGGGGACTTTCGTTAATAACAACACATGGCCACAGGCTCAGTCCTCGGTCAACAGCGTTACACTATCGCAGATCTGAGCAACAGAGGAAACTGGGTGCGAGATTCACAGGAATTCTTTGTACAATTTGCAGTTTTTCTCTAAGTCTAAAGTGTTCTGAAATCTAAAATCTGTTTTTATAAAGAAGAGAATGAGCTCAGGGCCATTCCAAAAGAATGCGAGGCAGGGACAAGGATTCCCAGCCACTGCCTGGTGAGGATCCTATCCATCCTGTTCGCCAGCGCTACCCTGTGGCCGGAGGTCACCAGGATGCTGGGGTAGGTGCACACAGGAGGCAGAGGATGGTGGCCAGACCCGGAGGGCAGGAGGAGGGAGACAAGTAGTTGATTCAGCGTGCTTCTAACCAAGTGAGTGGACAGGCCACAGCGCAAGAGCAGGAGGAAAGCCACAGCCACTTCTGGCTCCACCCCGGCCCCAGGCTCTGGGTCCATGTAGCTGGCAATGGCGTCTCCACCCACAGCACGTCTGAGGTGGTAGAAGTCCCTGGTACCCGAGCCTGAGGGGCCGCTTGGCCTGGCCCACTCCTGTGCTTCCTGGTTGACTACCCACCAAGCATGTGGGAAATTTTGAACTTTTTACGGTCTAAAGCCACCTGCCTCATGGCAAGCTCCTCTCCTAGGAGATGACTCACCTCCTACTTCAGAGGGAACAGAAACCACAGAAGGGAACCCCTCAGCTTTCCCCCATCATCCCACAAACTGCCCCACGTCACCAGCAGTCTCCTAGTGAACACCCAGGGGAGTGTGACAAATATTCATCAAGTGAAAAAGACGGGAAGGTTCCTGCTTCTCCCCTCGCACGCAGAAGCTCATTTATTAAAAGGTTTCTGATTATCAAGACAACACAACTAATCACTGATTCATTCAACGATTCCTGAGGCCGGTTAGGGGGTAAGGATCGTGCCGTCACTAAGAACATAGTAACAAATGAAACGGGGACTCCTTGATTCCAGGAAAGCAAACAGAAAATAAAAAGACTAGAGAATTTAGGTTGCCTAAAAACCTGACTGCTGTCACTCCAGGTGCTCAAAATGTAGTTCCTCAAACCAGGCCAGTAGAGGGAACTGTCGGCTTTGGAAATACAGCATCCCACCCTTCAGAAGGAGAGCAGGACTCTCCCAGGAATTCTTCCCCAGAGCAGGGGGGGAGCAGATGGAGGAGCAGAGCTGGCTGCCTGCAGGACAGGCTGGAGACTGATGGAGGGTGGGGCTGGGCTGCCCGGCTCCCTCCTGCCTGCCCAGCTCAAAGAGGGGCGGTACCCTGCTCCCAAGGAAGGACCTCACAGGAATACAGAGGCCCACAGGAAAATGCTGGGCCATGGCAGGAAACTCGGGATTTGCCAAGCCCTTTAGGAAGCAATTCAGAACAATCTCTGTGCATTTCTTCTCTCCCTCTGTGCTTGCTTCTGGCCTGGGAGGCTGGCCCCCTCCTGCACCTGTTGGGGTTGCTACCCCTGAAGTTTCAGATGGGCTCATCAGGAGACTGGCCTGGTCTCCCTGGCCCAGCCCCAGCTTGGAGTGGTGGCCTTCTCGGCCTGGGCCACCCTCACAGGGTCTGCCACCTGGAGTGCGTTCCTTCATCAGTGCCTCCAGTCCGCTTGCCACTCACTCTGCTTCCTGCCACCTGGGCTGACACCGCAGACAGTCATGCCTGCTCACAGAACCCCAGTGCAGCCTTGACCACGTGGTTCATTCAAGACCTGCCCACCCAGTAGCTGTGGGGCACGTAAGTGAGCCTCGGTTCCTCCATTCCACACAGTATCTTCTTTTAAAACAAATACTTATTCAGCAAGTCCTTCAAGAAGAAGGGCTGTGAGGAGAGCCAGGTCCACTGCAATAAGCAAAAGCAACATGCTCCCTCCTCCTTGCTACACTTGGGTCTCCGTGGAAAGTACAGGGAGCACACGTCACCTCAGGAGGGTGGCTGTGAGGACCAGGAGGACACAGAAGGAGCTCCTAGCCAGACCAAGGGCAGAGGATTACAATCGGAAGCTTATCCTGGTTGTGCAAGTTACAAGTGTGTGTACACGTGTGTGAGGTCTGACTGCAGCTGGCTGCAACGTGGCTCCTGAGGACCCAAGTGCTGACTTGGAACAGAGAGTCAGGAGGGGGAGAGGGGCTCTCTCTTC